TAGTGATTAAAAAATTATAAGAATACATGTGCACAACTTTTTTTTTTAAGCGTTTATAGTTCAAATTTTTACAAAATCTGTCGAAAATGCGAAAATTTGCAAGTAATTTTGAAGTTGAAAAGTCATAAAATATATAGGTAATCAATAAGATTTCACGTTTAGCGATTTTCTTATTTTGGTGTAACTCTAAAACAAATGATCGCAGATACGTGAAATTTTCACTGAATGTTTATATAGGATTTTTATATATTTTATAAATCTGGGGAAATCTAGAATATTACAATCTACAATCAAAATGTTGATAAAACTATTAAACTACGATATGATTTGGAATTTGATTTGATGATAGTAATCATTGCATTGACAGTTGCGTCGTCTTTTTCATTTAGAAAACAGAATAGTTTTAAGTATATGTAATTAATTTTGGACAAACAATGTTTGTAATTGACGTGATTTATACAAATTTAAAACAGAAAAAATAAATAATATTGTGTGCAAATCAGGTGTCAGCAATTTGGGTGTCGGCAAAATGTTGTGTCGGCGAATTGATTTGTCGGCCAATCGGTACGTCACGATAACATTATATACCTAATATATATAATTAATAATAATAACATAATCCATTCTGGTGTTWAACTTAAATAAGTTTAAGTATTTTTTCGAGTTCAAGAATGTTATAATCGGCGATCAACTTAATATTTTCGTTATTTAATAAATATTTAAATACTATCRAGGCATGTCTTTCAGGTTTAYTTAAGTGTTCATATTTTAATATAATCGTCGTCAGTGTACGTAATTAATGAAAGATAAGTTTCACAAGATTGAAACAGAGATGCGCTAAAAATTTTTTTTAATAAAACTGATGATTTAATACTGTCAACAAACTGAAAATTGTTCAATATTATAATTGCAAATATAATATATAATATTTCAACACAAGTAGTATATTATTCCATTCCATTGTATTTGTTATTCATTACATTTATTTATTGTGCCCCGAGCGCTAATAAAACCATATAAGCTCAAGTAATCGTGTTTTATTAATATACAACGGTCTCTATGTGTAATATTTATATACAACACTAAATAAACGTTACCTAGCTACTATACAATAAATAAAGTATACAATTTTCACCAAAGAACATTATTAGTTATTGAACCTAAAATCTAAATCGTTATACAAATTACAGAATTATTTTATTGTATTTTTATAGGATGCAAATAAATTTATTTCAAATAAAACTAGAAACTGCCTGAGTATTAAATGTATTTTATGCAACGTGGATGCAAATTCATGATTTAATAAAAATACAAATACACATCATAAATTAGTTTGTTTTATGCACCTACTTACCATGGCTATATATAATTATTGATAATTAATTACTATTAATATACCTATTCGTGGTACCTGCCTACCTAATTAAAATTATAATTTAAACAAATTTTTTTTATTACAATCTTTATTCAGGTAAATAAGGTAAATATTTGTCAGTTCATGTTATATTTTATAAATATACACATTTTGAATGGCAAAAACTATAYTCCTTATGGAGTAGCTGGTTATTGATGTACTATATTATGTATTATATAACTCAGTTTCCTAGAAGCATAAATGTATTTAGGCTAGTTTTTTTATATCTCTTATTTGGATTACCAGGGATGGTTTAGAAGTTACATCATATAAATAATATATATGCATTTTTTATGTTATTAGGATAGGTATCTGGCATTTATATGTAAGTGTAGGTATCTATTTATTAATAACAATTATAAGTTTAAAATAAAAAGCTAAAAAAAAAAATGTTATAAGTAGTACGATGAAAAGGCTTATATTAAAGCCTTGAATAATTTACGAAGGAAGTAAAACGAGTGATGTAATGTTATAAGTTATCTGTATGTTGTTGATGTTCAATTTGAAAGGTTTCTGAAAACTCATATTGATTTTGATAACTGACTTTCTAAATATTAAAACATTGATAGCAGTTATTTATTTGATATTGAAGTATGATTATAATATTGTGGCTAATATTACCGTTTTTATTCAGTTATTTTTAAGAAGCTAAATAATTAGATTTAAAATTAAGTTAAATATTCTATAGAGTTTT